TTCCATCTATTAAAACTGCATAGGCAGAATTGGGTGCTTTTGATCCCAATACATTGGTACTTTCTAAAGGTACGAGTTAAACAGAAACAGAAAACAATGACATGAAGTCATTGGGAACAAACTGAATGACCAAAGCATGAAAAGTTGGATTGGTAGAATCAATCACCTGTGAGAGATGACAAAAAATATACCTCTGGGGTCTGGGTACCCAAGTCAGAAGGATGAGAGCTTAAAATGTCATACAACATACTGTATAAGTGTGTTTTACCTGTGTATGAGACGTACAGGCGTAGCGTCGCCTGAATCCAGGATCACAGCCAGTGTCCTCAAGGCAAAAACTGGCCTTGTGTCCCTCGGCCACTTTACGTCCAGTGACGACATCCAGCAGGTCGTAGTTACTGAAGGCGTCCATGCTGTGATAGTGTCTGGGGGAGCGGCAGAATATATTAGAAATTATGAGATGTGGTGCCAACAAGGTTCAGGAATGAGGCCACATTTATATCTTCTTGAGTGAATTTCAAGGGTGTGGTGTTTTTATCAGAGCTTAAAGGAGCTGTGCTATTCATAACATTTAAGTGATGAAAGGTCATTTCACTTTCATTCTGAGTGAACTCACTGGTGACAGCTGTGCCAGTCCCACTGATATCTCGGCTTGACAGGAAGGAAGTCAGTGGTCCCTTGGTTCTTCACTTTCTGGGGGAACCGCAGGAGGACCCTGAAGTCGATGTCTCTCACGGCGGGTCCATATGCCGACCTTGAATGGATCACAGGGGAAACGTGTGTTGGAAAGTGCTACTGGCTGAGCTCCCGGGGGCTTGCTTTCAGAGTGCAAATGGTTTGTTCCATTGTGCTTAATGCTTTTGGGAAAACCAACCCAGAACATTTATGTCTTGGCAGAACATCATGTTGGAGGATCACTGCTCCATAATAACATCAAACAGTTTTTGTAACTCTATCAACAGAACAGTTGTCATGCCACATACCGATGTAATTAAAAGTTGACCTTAAACAACCAAAAGTTGTGCTTTATCAAGTCACATGAACCTTCAACAAGCAGTTAAAACAAAGGAAATACCTGTGTGTTGAGTGTGTGTGTCTGCGTGTCTGCTTCAGTGTCTAGGAAGTGAATCACTTTTGGCACAACAGATTACCTGGCCAGACAGTTCTCCTCGGCTGCACAGCGGAGCGCAAACATCTGCATGCGGTGGATATAAGCACCTGCTTGGATGGCATATGGGTCTGGCACCAGGTCTGGCAGTCCTGGGAGAGGAGATTAAAGGGACAATCCAAGTTTTTCATTTTTTTAATATAATTCTGAGATTTTAATGTTGCCAGTTTCTTTGTACTGAGAACAATTCACAGAAACAGACGTTTTCAAGGCTGAAAATTAGAGCAGCTGTTTGTATTCGTTGGCATAATTCAAAGTGTTTTACATTCCTGAGCTGTCAGTCTGGGATCCAGAGCCCAAGTAAGATTTTTTTCGTTCTTGTCATTCAGTTTTTTTCCCTCTCAGTGAGTGAGACATGAGGCTCTGCAAACGGACATTGAAATAACCCTAAAACCAGCTGATTAAAAACGTAATGTTTGGTTTAAGATGATTTAAATCCAATCAATTTAAGTAGTAAAAGCTCATGGCGTGTAATTAGGACACTTAACTTACCATTTTGGAAATATCTTGTTCCGTATCCTGTGCCAGGCGGACGGCGCGTGCGTGCCACTGGCCTCCCTCTTGTAGGATAGGGGTTGTAGAAAACAGAATTCCTGTGGTTTTTTAACGGGTTTCGAGGGTCATCGTTAACCATGTCCTCTCCATGACTGTTTGCCTCGTTTGAACCATCCTCGTTACCTGCAGTGGATGTGGCAGCAGCCTCAGATTCCCTTTCCACTGTTACAGGATACGCTGAGATGGAGTGATCCGTCTGGGCGGGTTGCCTGGAGACAGACATCGCCTCTGGCACCGTGCGTAACTGTTGGTATTGCGCACCAGGCCCTGGTTCTCTTCCTCTGGTGTGCAGTGCAGTAGCATCCACACCGACACCTCCTCTCCTACCTGGGAAATCTGTAAATCTCCCCGGTGCAGAGGCGTTGTTTGTGTTGGTGTATTCAGGGTTAACGCGTCGTGCGCCTTGATAACCTACAGCTCCCGTTCCGTGAGGGCGCTCGGACTGTTGTCTGGCCCCTGAAGCACGACTATTAAAAGACGTATACTGTCTAACATCGCGTTCTGGTGCAATAGATCCTTGTCCGACACCTTGATCAGTCCTGACCTGTCTGGACTCAGCATATCCAGGTCTTACTAGCGTCGCTCCTCTGTGCGCTCCCGGCATCTGGCTCCTGGTGCCATCCCTCCTGCCGCTAACATAAACCCTCTGCTGGCCTCTGGAGCGAACCGGGGGCTGATACTCTGATCCAGTGCTCATTAAACTATAAACCTGCCCGTTGTTCTCCCACTGAATCCGGTGCCGCCAGGCGCCAGCTGTGCGCTGCTGTTGCCCAAAGATGAGGGGAAGTTGTCCATAGAGAAAGTATAGAAATAAGAGTGACCATTTTGCCATGGCAATAAAACTAGAAAAAAATAAATCTCTCCTGTAAATCAATAGTAAATCAGACTTTGACATGAATTGCGCGTACAGATGTTGCTTTGTGGAAAGTGGATCAAAAGCAGGGGTGCGCTCTCAATTCCAGCTCTTACACAGAACAACATATCAGTTCTCGGGAGGACTGACAAGTGGAGAGGAGAGGAGGGCTGCAGTCTTTTTCTCCGGCTCATTTATCGAATTCAGCCCAGTTTCTTACGCAAAGTCAAACTTTCTGGCGAGAGGATTTAACCCATGCCTTGCCATGGTTAAGCTCTGTTACACAAGTAGATACAAGGACGTTTGCTTGGTAAACTTTACGCACGGGTGTTAACTGAAGTCATCTACATGTTACCGTTCAGTCTGGTATTGTCAAGATCCAGTCAGCCAAGTAGAGTTAGAAACAAAGGTTATGTGTTTATGATATCATTTACACATGAATTCTTCTGCTGGAAACATAAACTTTGAAGAAAATTATGTTCTTCAGTGAGAATTGTTGCATTAAAAAGCCGATAGAAAACAAGTAATCTAAAATATTTTTGGAATTTTGCCACGCGCAATGAGTTTATCAAAATTAATAAACAGATATCAAACGGTAGTGTTTCTAAAACCACATCTAACAACTTTGGAGATGCTGCACTACATGGCTTCATGGCCTCGTGCAGGAAGGAACCTCCACCACACGGCGGCAGGATGCATCTGTGCGTCACCATCCCGCAGACACCGGTGCTCTCCAGGAGCCTGTTATCACCCTGAGAGAATCTGAAAGTCTGGTGACATGTTTTAATTGTTGATTATGGTTTGTGAATTTATATTGTGTTTTGAACATGTGCTGTTTGGTGTTCAAACAGTTCAAACATATTATAAATATTATTTTGGCTAAATGTCATGTTCATAGGAGCAAATTAAGTTAAGCCCCTGTTTTTTTTTTTTTTAACTCAACAATATATAGGCTACAAACAATGATTTCCTCGAACAGGTTGGAGGGAGAAGTTTCACACCACAGTGTAAAAGTTAAAGTTCTGCATTTAGCAAAAGTGCAAAAGTATTTACATCAAAATATACTTTAACTACCAAAAATGAATGTCTTCATTATGCAACATGTCTCATAGTAGAAAAAAATGATATTATTGGAATATAGTGATGTGTAAGCATTATTTATGTAAATCTATAACAAAGTTGAAAGTATGTGTTGATTTGGATTTTTTAGTGATAATTAGAATCTGTAAAGTAACTACTTAAGCTGTGAAGTAGACAGAGTGCAGCAGAAAGTACAATATTTGCTTCCAAGATGTTGCTGAGAAGATTAGTTAAAAAAAAGGAGTACAAGTACCAATTGCACATAAGTCCAGTACTTGTAAATCTACGTAGTTACATAGTTTTTTTATGTGTTTACTATGTGTTGATTCCCCCGTTTAACTCTCTTGCTTGAAGGAATACTTCACCCCCAAAATGACCATTTGTATATAAACTGCTGCAAATTTGTGAGGAAAACTTTGTTTTTCTGGCATCTCCACAGTGAATGAAGGATTCCAAAACTGATGAAATTCTTAATGATTTGAAGTCATTGATGGTCAATAAAAATGGTGCCATTTACTTTAGGCCATCTCTTTCATAGTGAGACGTATCAATGCTCTCTTCATAGCCAGGCTTTATTGACAAAAACAATAATTTTACCTCACTGACATGGGAGCTGCTGGTCTACCACTGCCTCGATCAGTTTGTTTGTTTTTTATGGTGATTAAAAGGGTTAGTTCAGATTTAGCAAAGTCACACAATAACACAAACAAAGTGCCATTCGAGGTAGACCAGCAGTTCCTGTGTTCAGTGAAGTAAAATGCCTTTTTTGTCAATGGAGTTTGGCTTTGTAGAGAGCATGTAAGTTTCTCTTTTAGTGCAGTCTCCTGTTGGAAAGGGCTGTCTGTTTGGCAAGTACTGAACATATGACTGGATAAGTGAGACTTGGATTATACTTCACAAGTTGTGTCAGAGTTTATAAATTAATGTATTAAAATGAAATAGTTTTGCTGTTGGTAAATGTGCTCCCTTTTGCTTTCAATTCATCAAAAGTATTTTCTGTTTTTGGATTCTTCGTTCATCTGGAGGCACTGTGGCTTTTCCATAAAACTAAAGACTATTATTAATGCCACTATGATCTTGTCTTCAGGTAAGGTACTCAAGTTGCTTGATATGGGTCATAGATAGGACAGAATACATACACTGCCTCAGGCGGAGCTCAGTATATATCACCTGTCACATGAAGTGCCATGGTGCGTGTTTCCTCAGCCAAATAGGGCATCGGGATGGTGAGCCTGCATGCTTTTCTATTCTTAGTCAGAGAAACCGTACACTGGTCCAAAGTCCAGCCCCACCCCGCTCCCTGCTGCGGTCCAGATTTATAAGAGCCACAGATCCTCGGCACTGGTTTGGCACAAGACTTCCCGAGCAGGACATGTAACCCACAAAATTTAGCCAGTAAGTATTAACATTGAATTGAGTCTGTCTTGTGTGTCTGACCTGAAAGTAAACAAATCACAACAAATGTTGCCACAAAAACTTATCTTGACTGTAAACTACGAGTGCTTGTAAATAAAATAAAGTTGCTGGTTGTTTTCATGGTACACCTACAGCAGCAGGAGCAGCAGATCTTTCCCCGAGTGAAAGACTAATTCTTTTACGCTTTGAATATATCTTATCCCACGAATCTAGGTGTCCAGGGCTTCTCACAGCTTTGCTTCTTGTGAGATTAAACGAAGATGGTCTTAAAATGGTTTTACCACAAGAAAACTTCCCCACAAGGAATACACCTGTTGTCTTCCCCTGAGGCCTCACACTGCCACTCTGAGGAGTTTACAACTAAATGATAGATCCAGATGGTTTACCACAGATCATGGGGAGACAATACAGGTGAGATGCTGAAAACGTGTGAAAAAATGAAAATGATTAAACTCTGTCATCCCACTATGTGGACATTTAGTTCTTCCTGAAAGCAACAGCTGTGGGTTTGTAAATAAAACTGAGCTGATTGTACAGTCTAACCTGCGTTAAAATAGAAATGCCTAATAAATTATGAATGATACATTCTTTGATGACTGCAGATCACGAGGTCTCTTGTGATACATGTGTTGCTTATCGTTAATTAACCTTTGCCGAAATCAGCTCTCCTCACGTTTCATCTTGGAGCATCATGCTGCTGCTGAATCTATCGTCACGTTTTCGTTTATCTACACGTGACAAATTAATGTTGAGTGCACCTAATATGTGAGCTATCAAAAAACTGCCTAACCTGTGGCCCTTTAACCCAAATGTTTTTGCCTTCTGATGTTAAGGGGTTATCTTGTCCTTGAAGCTTTACTGTGTGTGACTGCCCGCTGCTTCTGCTTTAAGACTTTGGATGTAAGTTTTTTTTGGGTCACAGATCTACACAGTCACAAAAAAGGAAGACACAGAAATATAAAGTATCAGGGTAACAAGAGTAATTTTCTGTATTTTTTTTCCTTTTAAACTGGTGGAATACACTTATATGTGGGCACTGGTTGTGTGTATTTCCTGGCCCAATGTAAATATGAAGTAATATATCTATTTATTTTAATTAAATTTTTTAATGAATGAATTTTTCTATACTTACTGTACTGCACATTACAAATTGTATATAAAACAGTGACAGAAAATTGAAGCTGAAAAAACAAGATTGTACATAATAATAATAATAATAATAATATTAAATCATTTGTGCCAAAATGTCCTTTTTCAAGGTTAAATTTTATTTTCTAAGCCAAAACTTACTGTCACTGTTCTCCTCCTTTTTCTTCCGGTGAATAGGAACATGTTTTTTGTGGGTTTTTTAAGGACAGGAGAGAAGGTGTTGTTGGGTGTTTGCTTCTTTGTTGGTTGTATGAACCTCTACTGACAGGGTGAATTAGCTCCACATGACCTTTATTGCTCTCTTATGGATTTTTACGTCACTGCAAACTGATCAGGATCGAGTGCCAGTTACCTAACCGTCCACTTTGTGACCCACTAAATCGATAATAAATTCACAGCAAACCTGCTCCTGTCGCTCTCTGTAGCATTTACAAGCTATATATAACATTTAAAGGTACAACAATTCTGGAGAAAGATTCTCCAGAATTGCATACTGCAACTTTAATATGTGGTTTATTACACATTAAAATGTGGTTGAAAGCACATGCAAGTGTTTATTAATGTATCTGTTGACAAGAATAACTCCTCTTATGGGCACCCATAAGTGGAGGCTGCTGTATAAACAGGTAACACATTACAATAAAACATATTTGTATTAATGTCTTATAATGACAAAATATGTTTGATAAATACTGCACATTAAAGGGATAGTTCAGATTTTTTTGAAGTGGGGTTGTATGAGGTACGTATCCAAAGACAGTACATTACATACAGTAGATGACGGTTGACACGCCCCCAGCTTGGAGAAGCAGGCTGGAGTCTGACACAGAAGCTTGGCAATGTACTGCTGTGGATGAGGGTCAGCAATAAAGGGTATTTCAGCCATCCCCCCCAAAAAAGTCCTGCCTTAAACAAGACGACAGTTTTAGTGTATGCTATACTGACAGCATTTTAACCACTGCCTTTTTTGGGTAACGGGTAAGTCATTACTGGCTTCAGTTTCACATCTCTGCTCTCTTCAAAGCCACTGGACTCTATTGACAAAACAATAAGAGCTCTTAGTCTTCCACTTCCTTAAATTACTTAGTTAATTTGTGTTATCGTGTGACTTTGGTAAAAATCAAACTAATCTCTTTAAAAACCAAACCAGCAACTGCTTTGTTCAGGGATGTCAAATCATTGCTTTTCTTTTTGAAGAGAGCGATGTAAAGCTTCTGTCCCCCATCATAAATTGCTGTCTGGCAGAAAGGTAAAGTACTCTCAATGTAGCATCCACTTAAGGTGGACTGGGGCATATCAACCACCATCTACTGTAGGTTATACATTGACTATGGTTAAGTTCCTCACACAACTAAACTTAAAAAAAATCTGAACTATCGCTTTTAAATGCAGTTAACATGTCCTTATATCAGCCTGTAGTGGGTTATAAAACATTTATTAAATGCTCGTATACAGCTTATAAATGCTATAAAGGGGGACTTATTAATTAATTCAGTTGTTCACATAAGTTTAGTCACAGCGAGGCAGTCATAAATATTCCTGTCACTCCTTCAGTGGCATTATCACAACTGTTCACATGCCTCAGGGGTCCTCACTTACTCACAAAGGGGGTCTGTACAGCATGTGACAGCCACTCATCTCCTGTCCCTGCCTCTCCACCTAAATATGGATGCCCTGTCTGTACTTTGGGGGTTGCCATGGCGGCGGTTGACGTGAGAGCATCAGGTTCTCGCCTTACCCGCCTAGTTGTGGCGTGTGGGGACCGGCCCCTGAGTCAGACCAGGTGGTGGAGCGTAGTGTGTGGCAATCAGCAATTGGCTGTACACTCGTCAAACATATTCCCCTGACACCCCAGACACTTAGCCTAAATATAAACTGACAGACCAGCTACCCTCTGCTCCAGGCCAACTGTTGGCATGTAAAGACTCCTAGAAACGTATCACAAGACCCTGAACACCCCCCCAGCACACCCTCTGTGGCTCTGCCAGAGCAATGTGCAGTGTGCATGATATGAAGAAGGACAAGAGATTCAGGAAAAGTTTATATGACACTAAAGATTTAATATATGCTCACACTATAAATCATCATCACCGCCAGTCAGACATGAGTCATTTGTTTCATAATTCATGGTGTATAGTTAGCTGGAGAGAGGACAGACAACCCTCAAGGTGACCATATAACTCGCTGGGTTTTTAATATTGAAATATCAATAAAAAGTGAAATTAAATTGCTTTATGTTTCCCCTCATTTCTGTGCAGACAGCGCTGGCTGAGGGTAGAGTGATGATGTGGGTGACTTGTGAAAGGACGTTTGATCTTTTAGAGATGTGGTAGCCTATCAGTGAAAAGGGCAAATGCGCTAAAGTGTACAGAGTGGTTGTCAAGACAGAGATTTGCTCCTTTATTGTGGAAAGCTACATAGAAAGGTTATTTCATGGTACTGGATGTGTTGTTAGCACAGTGGGGAGGCATTATTCCACTCAGTGGCTGACATTAACCTTCATGTGTGGATATGACTGACAAGAAAATTTCCCCAACAAGGTTTACAGAAGTATGCAGATTCTTTCATGCATTGCTTTGGAGGTAGACGTTGTGTCCTGATAAGTGTTGATCAGCAGATGACAATGACCCTTTTCTTTTATTTGTTTTACACCCAAAGCTTTATTAGACAGTTGACTGTGTAGCGACAGACTGGAAATGGGGGGAAAGGAAGAGGTGTGACATCCAACAAAGATAAGATAAAACCCTATCAATCCCAATGAGCATTCTTGTGTTGGAGGTTGCTCATAAACAACATAATAATAAAAACATTAGGGTAATAAATGTTTATTAAAAGTAAAGCTAACACAAGTGCCTACTAGAATAACAATACAATTAAGATACATTTAGTAAAGTAAGTAAAAGAAAATGAAATATGATAGAAAAGTAATATTTTGAATCATACTGATGTGGAAAGGTAATATTGAAGATGACATACTAACAAAGGACCCGCGGCTGTAATCAAACTGTGGACGTTGTGGTTCTCTAGAGAGTTTTTATATATTATTAAAGGGAAAAATATATCCCATCATCCCATCATTGCCATAGGGTGAGGCATTTCAAATCCATTTTTTAAAATCCATTTCAAATCCAGTTCATATTGGCACATCTATCGTCTAACATAAAAGCTCCTGTTTTTTTTGCATCTCTTAAACTTTATAGATGTTAATTTCACATTTATGTATCCTAACATTTAAAATGACAGTTAGGTGGTGATTAAATCCGACCACCTTTATTTGTCCTTTCTTTTTCCTTCCTGTAAACTGCATTAGCTCATCTATTGTCTTTTAGAGGAGAACACTGGCTGTGACTCAGTTTGCAGGCCACTTTTATTGAGGCTCTCAAGCTAATCTGGGTGATAAGAAGTCTCAGTCAAGGGCTGCTGGATTTTAGCAGTCATCCTCAACGTACATTTATATTTGTGTTGTAAAGTATGAGGTTTGTGATTCTGATCAGGACCTTTATGGGAGCCACAAATGTGTGTCTGTGTAAGTGTGTGTGTTTGTGCGGACCCCACAATTAGGCAAAAAATGCATGGTCCCCTCAAGGGAGGAAAATGAGTGTGTGCATTTGAAATGAAAAACAGGAAACACAAATTGGATTCAGTCACTTCATTTAGTTGTGATACACAAATCCTTCTTCCCAGTGGGCATTTCATATGTTTACATTTAACAAGATCGGAGTTGAGTTGATCCTCTCCCTGATGTTAAACACTGGGCAGTCCAGAGGTGTCTTATCTTTTAGAAAAAGTTACAAAGGACGATACAAAATACAATGTTTCTGCCATTAGTTCTTAATAAGTTATTAAGGATTAAGTATTTACAAATCAGCCTAGAAGTACAGAACTGGTGTTAAACATTCACTCAAAATGATATTTACAAGTCTATACACAAATCCACTGTTATTCCCGTCTTGCTGTGGAGAAAGAGAGAATAAAGACAAGTCACTCACACTGACACAGAAATTGTAGGGGATAACATGTTTAAGTAATAATAATAATAATTACCTATATGTTATTAAGCAGGTAGTTTTGAATACTTTCATATGCTTCATTGTAGATATCTTCCTTTGATGTCATCCCATCAAGGTACTCTGTCCAGAACAAGACAAATCAAAAGTGAATGAGAGCTCTTTATGTCAGCAGTTTGCAGTTCAAGTCTTAATTATGCAGGAGAGATTTGATGTTAGAGAAGTGGATAGGGAGACAGCAAATCTGGCACATGAAGGGTTGTTGATATTTTGTTTTAGATAAGAGGAATTGGTTTTACATACCTATTCTGTCACAGTTGTTCTCCATCTCTTTCCTGTGTTTCAAATACATGGGCCAGACGTGGCCGTCGAACAGGCCAGAGGGGTCAGGGAGTGTGTATGTCCTTGTACTGCAGAAATATAACAAATCAAGTCATTTTATAGCCTGAAATTGGTCCAGCACTTCACCGGAATCTGTCAAAGTCATTGTGAGAGCTTGTTACCTTCTCCTCCTTTTGCACTCCTCATAAGGAATGGAAATGTAGAAACATTTGTTGTAGATGTCAATTAGAGGCCTGCGGAGGGGAACCAGGGCTCAGATTAGTAAAAAGCTTTGGAGGTCAAGGAGGTCAGGCCTGTGGGTTAAATTTGAGAACTTGTGTAGGAAAACGAGTAACGTGGCAGGTGACTCACTTGTAGTTGTAGATGAGGAAGCCCTCCACGATGAGAATATGTATCCCCTCTTCTGAGTTGAATTCCTCAGCTTCAGGTGACAGGCTCACGCCGTGTGAGCGTGCAAACTTGACCGGGTTCTCTTGCCAGCCTTTCACAGTGCTGACCATAGCCTCCATGTCCAGAGCGGTGATCACTGATACAGAACAAGGAGAGGAGAGAAAAGAGCAGGTTTCACCACACATGAAAGCAACGCTTCTCACCAATGTGTTTTAACACACATCAGTTAAAGTTAGTGAATGTTTGTAGCATTCACAGAATACATGTTTGAATATCACAAAGTTCAGGATAGATTGGTTACCAAACAATAGAAATGTGCAGGAAAGAAGAAGTGCATTACTGCATGGTTTTCCTACGCAAAATCCATTCTTACCATCCCACTGTCTAAAGCCGTCCTCCCCGACTTCTATTTGATCGGGTTTCTGAAATAACAGTCACCAATAAAACATTGCTGCAACCTAGTAACCAGTCGGAGCTGATCACACCTGGACAGGACAGTACAAGGACTCGTCTCCACCCAAAGTGGCGCACGCTGACATTTTTGGGTACGGTTCAAATGTTTTTATCGAAGTTGCTTTTGCGAAATATCGGTTGCGACACCTTAGGACACAGCTTTCTCTAAATATTTTTTTTCACAAATACATTAAAGCTATACAGAAGGAGTTGTAACGTTGGGTGTTGCCTCAGTTTGATGAAAGTGTTTGTAAAGATGGAGGCTAGCTTGTCTGATATTCCTTTTCTTTAACAAATAAATCTGCAGGCTCTTGCAATTTAGATTTTTTGCAATTGCGCGGCCGTCAACGACGCCCTTGGTATATTGCAAAAGCAGTATAACAAGCGATATAAGAGAAAAAATGAAATCAAGTCGCTCTGGTTTTAAAAACAATTGGTGATTGGTGGTCAACTGACCTTCGCTGATCCTGAATGCAGTAAGAAAACAGATGATAGAGCTGGCTTCTAATTTGGCTTCTTTTGAGCCAAATTAGCTTAATAATCATGCAAAAAGTTGTTTGTAGAATTTACAGCATGAATGGGTAAAGTCTGACTTTAAGTGGGGACGCTCAGCCCTTTCAATGGCTGTCCAGGAGACAATCAGCCAGATGTATTACTAGGCTACTGCGAAGACAGGACATCTGCAGGTCAGACTAGGGGTTTATTTCTCAGCACAAAATGTCCTTAAGGGTAAATTTCACATAGCAAATGAAATATATCAAAAATAATACTTACAATTAGTAAAAATTAAAATAGTTACTGTAGCTTTAACTGAACATATACTCACTTAAAGTTCCAAATAATGATGTCTTTAAATCATCTTACCTTGAAAAAGTCATCCTGATGCACCACGCAACAGTTGGGTAATGTCTTTAGTAGCCTATTTGTCAAAGTGGTCTTCCCACCGTTGGTCACGCTGTAATAAAGATGAATTCCACACAGATGTGAGTTACATTCATCGCTTTTTCAAAATACAAGTAGAAGCTGAGAAATACAGTAAATGAGACTTACCCTCCAATGCCGATTATGAACTTCATTTTCAATTTGTTTTTGTATTGGTCACCTCTGGAATTCAGTAAATAAAAGAAGGGAACCCAACCAAAGCAAACAGTCTATGAAAAACTCCTTCTAAAAACCCTCTCCCTCTCTTCTGCCACAGATGTTCCCCCCTTTTACTACTTCATTGATAGACAATCTCTCTGCCGGGCATATAAAGGATTTCACTGCAGTGTCACAGCCTCTCAAACCAGGCCTCTTCTTCCTACAGCCAATGAGGTGCTGCTTTACAGCCACGTAGCACCAATGGAAGGAGAAGGAGCCCCACAGTTGCATGAAAGTAGATACCAAATATTCCACCTGCTATCAGGGGTCAGTGGACACTGGCCAACCACATGCATGACAAATCCCACGCCCAACAGATAGAAAGATGATAAAGAAATAATGATGGGGCAAAGCTGTGAAACACAAAATTAATTCTCTCTTTGGAAAGAGTCTCAGTCACATGTGCGGACAGAAAGCTACTGTCAACTGGTGATGCTGATAGTTTAGAGCTTGTAAAATCTTTATCCTTACTTTGAGATAAAGTTGATTTTAAATCTCCTTAGAAATTATACAAATCTTAAATTGTTTAGACTGAATAAGTAAGATGTCATTTAAGTGCAGATGCTATTTATCAAAGGGGCGTTTGGTGGCATCGGAAAGGCACTGTATGGAGAGGAGGCAAAGGCTTCAAGTCGGACAATCACTAAAATTTATTGCAATACACATCAGAGTATAAAAGTCACATCCTCTTACTGAGACATCTGTATCACAGCTAAAGGAAAAACTCATTATTTGGGTTTTTTAGAAGAAAAGTTTCCATGCTTAGACAGCTCCAGATGGGTGAAAACCAGGCGCACTATATTTAGTCGGCTGCTGTGTGTCTGCCTACTGCGTCATGCATATTTCTGATGCAACTAGCTGGAGTACATGGCTGCCAGCCATGTGATCGCAGTGTCTCGAAAGTCATGGCTATAGGTTTGATAATGCAGACACAATGTATGTTTTTGAGCTTATCAGCCTAATTTGTTGCACACCCGTGGATGTATGCAATCTAACCTTGTGTTTATTGTGTTTGTATTTGAGCAAATACATTGTTCTTATCTCTGTAAGTGTAAAGGAGGTGAACATTGAGCCCCTGCTATCAGAGCACATGGTTTCATGTTCAGGGTTTCATGTTTTACTGCTATGATAGTCCTAACGGTGAAGAGATGCCTGCTGACACCATGTGATGAAAATATTTATTTTGCCTCTTACATCAAAGTGATTGATGGCTCCAATGTGTTGTTGCAATCAGATATTAGCGATTGAAAAATGCTGCTTGTGGTTAAGAATTTGGGATTACAAAACTGTCCTATATAGGCTCAGTCACTCTGTAGGGTCCTAACCCATGTGGTCAACACCATGTGAAGCATGTGGTGCACATATTTTTTCCTTCTAAGCCTCGGTGGACAGACTAACCTTTACTTGACCTGCATTTTTGGTGAATAACTGTATTGCTTTTCGGCCACTGTTACAATTTAATATTTATTATTAATACATAAAACTTTCTAAGATTGTGCCCAGGGGATAATCCACAGGGATAATGTCAAAACACCTACATTTCAAGGTTTAAAGGAATAGCTTGACATTTTGGGACATACATAAACTGAATGTTTCTCAACAACACTGTGGTAAAAGTGTGCTTGGGCTCAGACACAAAAATAACTTGGCTATTTTTGGAAAATATCAGGTTTTGGCTTAAGACACCCATGTTTGATCACACAAAAGCTGCTGAAAAACCCTGCAATGTTTTGGCAAAGAAACACAGTTGTTCAAACACCACTGGTTAATGCTGCGATTTGTCAGTGAATAACACCCAGATTCTGTGGCTCAAATGCCGTTTGGAAATGCAGTGGCACTAAAACACCTATTGGTCACCAAAAAAACACCGGTGTTGTTGGTTTCAAACAGCTGTCTGCAGCTTGGCAGGCATCTCGCTAGGTCTCGCTAGCCATCCACTATCCCCTAAATCTCTAGATGACAAAAATCGGCTATATAATGTCACCTTAGAAACACTGGTATGATACGTATGAAACATGGAAAAGTAACATACAGTATTCTTGGTTTGCGGTATTGTATAATGTGAACATATTCTACTGGCGACACTAGGAAGTCACTGCTTCCAGCTGTGTTCGTTGAGAAACTATTCCATTAACAAAAATGTGTACTCATTTGTTTGCATATGTACTAATCAGTCAGCTTTAGAGATACTGGTATGGGTTGCAGTGCACCACAGTGCCCCTTACTGGTGACAGCCTAATTCTTACTGCTTAAAGTTTTTTTGCTAAACTAAGCTAATAGCATCCTGCACTTAATGCAAAGACATGACAGTGGGATGAATTGTCTATTGTAACTCAACAAGGAAGCAAATATGCCTATTTTCCAGAAGGTCGAACTACTCCTTTAAAGTTAACATTGCAATAATACTTCTTGTTTTAATCTATTATAATTGACCCCTTTTCCATTTTAATTTGCATGCTGAAATATTCATTTCATAATTTGTTCATGTATATATATTCATATGAATTTGCTCAATAGACTATAAATATTACAAGTAAAAACGTCAAGGAACAGTTTATCATGAGTTCATGTATTGAGCTACAACCTTGTGATCACAGTAACATTGCATATAAAAATAAAGAAAGGTCACCTCAGCAGAGTTATGTCCTAATGATCCCTATGGAGAGCAACACAAGACTGTCAGGTGACACAAAGAACACTCACACACTCATAAATCATTAATAACTTCAAAACGTTATGGACCAAACTGGAAACTGTACTGTTAATCTGTTCTGCATCAGAAGTCAAGGTTGGACGTAAGAGGTGATTAATTACAGCATGACAAAAGCTTGTTTTAGTTCATTTGTTTATTCATTTCTTTTTTTTACAAACAGTAAATGGCACATCTTCATAAATAACATTTTTAGCAATTAATTTGACTCTCTCTTTAAATATATGTAATTTCATATGTAACAATCTATGTTTCCCATCTTGCAAAAGTACCTTTTAAAATATGATGGCGAATGACCTAAAAACTGACAAAAACAAATGAGACAGAAGGATTTAAACAAGCATGCCACCTGCATATCAAACTCTGGAAAACTTAAAAACTGTAACGCACGTTTGCATCAGTAACATCTACTGTAGGTCTAAGAAGAACAATATCATTGCACATTATTTTTCAGTAAATGGCCATTAAACCGAACAATACCCATGCCACTCATATCAAAAACCAAACATCTGTGCAAACAACTTTCCTCAAAAATATCTATACAAGTATGTACATTTTGAAACAGACAATATTCCCCGGCTTTGTCAGAAGATGCTTGAATGTTAATCCAAGTCCTTAATTTTTCATTTATATAGTTGAAGTCATGCTGTAGATAAAGCTCAAGTTGACATGCAGGGAGCAGATACTTTGTGATTTACTTAAATCTTATAATGCTTTGGTGTTAATTAACTTGTAGAAGCAAGTATATCAATGAAAATAATGTTTTTGAGAAATGATTGTCTTGCAGCTAATGGATCCAGTCAGGAGATGTAACCCTGTGCAACAAGCATGTGATGGCGGCTTAGGCTGGCTCCCATTTTAATGAATGAATGTCCCCCATTGGTTCTTCAGTTTAAAGCTCTGTAAAGAAAATACAGACAGTTTAATTAATTTTATTTCTCTGTTACCTTTAAACGCACAGTCTAAAACATGTCATTTGTGCATCTCCTCAAACACAGTTCCTGTAAAACCCTTAAATGTGGTAGTGTGTCAGTGAGCATGCACTTAATATAAACTAAATATCACTTGACACGAGCCCATTTATTTTCCCCCTGCTTCCTCCCTTGGCATTTGGTTAAGAGACGGTGCCCCTGTTCATTCCTGGGATGTCAGCCAGTCCTATGGCTGATAGCTCCTTTGATATATGGAGACTGATAGGAACGGTCAGCAGGACGGCACAGAAGGGGGGGAAGCTTCTAAAATAACCCACCCTCAGAGCCTAACCCACTCCGACCTGCTGCGGTGGGTATTTCCCCCAATTTCAGGACAGGCTGCGTGTGTAGATCAATCTGCCTCGGTTGTATGACCCATTAAAAATAGCATTGATCGGTTGTGTGCAGGCAGGCTTAAAGAGATTAGCAGCTGTGCTTTATGTAACATGGGTACGGAGGGAATATGATGTTTGAGGATCAGATAACATTTCTTGGACTGACACGCAGTCTGAATTTAAAGAACTGAAACATGACTTGGCAAAAAGGAAAATGAGCTGGACTTGATGACTGACAGTAATCATACAGCACTATATCTTGTGCTTCAGCATTTGTTCCAATGAAGGAGGAAGGAAACACATTTCTTTACCTTTTTTACTTTATGTTTGAAATGAAAGGCTCACATTTTTTTGGGCAATTTGCATCTTCATCAAAGTGAAGAAAGAGCGATTAATCAATAATCAGAATAGTTGCAGATACATTTACTTTTGATCAACTAATAATCAAAGGTCTATTTGTGACTTAAAATGAGTTGCTTTTTAAAAGAAGCTTTAATTAACTGAGATTTGAGTATTCCCATTCTTTCTGCTTGTGGCCTAACATGACTCGGTGCAATGCTGTAAATTGGATCTCGGTGCCCCTGAACTGACAACTGACCCTTTGGACCTTTGGTCAGTGACCCAAAACTCCAGAAAGGCAGTCTTCCAGCATTTCGTGGATATACTGTATCGTGTCTCTTTTGCACACATAAGCATGAGTGTGTGTGTATGTGTGTGTGTGTGCAGAAGAGAACATCGCCCTGTGTGTCAGAGATTAGTTACAGTGGGCTGACATTACAAACCAGTCTGAGTGAAGTTTGTTGGAAAGGCAGTTATGTCAGTGAGAGCCCTTACCTTAATGTCAGATGTCACGACCAACATCTGCTACCATTGATTTTGGCCTGGAAATGACAGATTAACATTAAGCCTTAAGAAAATATAAATATTTATCTTGGTTATCTGGCCCATATTAGGCTGTGCTTTCTGTTGCCAGAATATATCCATTTGGCTTAAGAAGTTGCTCAAACTTAATTTGAAGAGATGAAATGCCCAGGCTGATTTTCTGTCCAGCCTTTCACTGTAAATCACATTTTCTTGATACAAATGGAGAAGTTTTCTTAATTCAGTCTCTAACTGACTAATAAAAAAAGTTTACTGTGTGCAAGTGAGAGAGAAATGTTTCCAGACTTTTAGCAGCCATCAGTATTAAATAAAAGAATAAAATAGCTTCACATTTCCCATGTTGTAGTGCCAAAGTAGAAAAGAAAATTATCCACCTAAAATTGGCACTGGACTGTATGTACTGTAAAATGGGGTCACCTTTCTTTAGGCAGTGTTGAGTTTGTCTGCTGCTGCTCTTGCTCAAGTCTGTAAGTAAGACAGGCAAATATTAATAATACCAATGGTATACATGCAGGGAAAAGAGTGGGCAATACAACTTTTTTTTAAACATAGAATTTAAAAATAAAATCTACTGCTCACCTTTCTCTTTGTGTTCTTATCTTCTCCTCATCATATCTTTAAAAAAAGAGACCAAATGTGAGACTGATGTGCCATTACATCAACATACTTCTCACCAGCAATATGAAGAAGCTACAAGGCTATTGCAGTATGCTACTGCAGATCATAGGTTTACTGTGTTTAAGTATTCACTGCAGAGCTTCCCAAAGCCTCAGGTTAACTCACCAAGCTGAAACTATTGAATTCCAACAGGGGCCTACAGTTTGATTAAAAACCAGTATGAATACAAATATGAGTTTTTACTTTTTCGAAAATCCCTGTTTTCTGTAAGCTCGTGGCTGTCATGGTTCCTTTTAGTATTGGTGCTCAGGTGTTGGCCACAAAAGACAGAAAGTCTAGAGAGTGAATGCTCAATCTGCCAGTGGACCTAAACATCAAAATGTAAAGTGCGAGGTAGCCTCCTGCGTCAGTTTTGGACATTTACGGATGGCATCTCAATTAATGCTTGTCACATGCATTGTGTCTTTTCAAAATACATTTCCGTTTTCACAGGAAAGGTACAGTTTCCGCTCATCACATGCATACACTCTTTTTCAAAATAAACCTACAACATAGGTAAAACACCACATTTTGTATGTATGTAGTTAGGTTTGGAAAAAAGCATCATGGTTTGGCTTAAAATGAGTACTGTTCCTACTAAAGTATGTCTCATCACGTGACGTATTGTCATGTGACATCTGTCACTAGTGTAGCATGCTGCACTCTTACACTACGACGTTATAAAAATAACTCCATTAACTTTTGGTTTCACATGGGAAACAAACAGCAGGCTTCTGTCTTGGTCTTACATGTAGTTGCTAGTGGTGTCAAAATTAGCCGCCACCTGGTGCTCACCATACTGCCATGAAGAGCGTTTCGGTGCGTTGGTGTCTGACGCCAACATCCACTGAGAAAGCGGCGGTATTTGACAGGTTGCACGCTATCTCATAGGCATGTTTGTGTTGGCAGGGACACAGGGGCATTTGTCCCCCACCCCAATAAAAACGTAGTAGCAGAGGACTTTTATTTTGACAAAAATAAAAACAATTCCACCATAAACTGATGCACAAATTGGTGCATAAAATTCACCAGAATACAGGAAATTAAGTGATTGATGCTGAAAATATTCAGATGATAGACCCCAAAACTAAAAACCCCTGGTTTTATTTGTGTCCCCCCAATGTCAAAACAAAACCCACACTCTTGCACTGTCTTGGTCCTCTGCTGTTTTAGTTATCCAATAACTTATTCATTAAAAGAAACTGTGACAACTATACATTTGAATAAATTCTAACAATTACACAAACTTCAGGTTTAGTTCGACCATTGTGCTATGAGCAGTCTCTCAAGGAATTATTACAGTAAGCATCCAATACATAACATAACATGATACATGTTTAGTGTCTCAATGGTGACCCTTGGTGGCTCACACTACTTACTGCAACACACACTCTGGGATCTGCACATGCTCCATGGGGATGATCTGGCTGAGTTCCTCCAAGGTGTGAACGTAACGGATCTTATCCATGAACTTCACACTGCAGGGAGCATCAACAACATGCAGTTAATGTCAAATTATCCAGTCTGAACACTTATACGTCAGTGTTAAGGCCAGGCCTGGTCGCACAACTCTTAATGTTCTGTGATAGTCTATATGCAACTGGATTATTATGACACAGCTCCTTAACTTGTCTTTTTTATGTTTTTTAGATTTGTTTAGAGAAGAAGTCCTCTGCAAGTCTTTAACTCAAGGGATAGACTAATGGACTGTAAGCCATGAATCCTCACCTGATGAAAGGTCTTGAGATGGCCAAGACGGTCCGGATGAACCACGTTGGGTGAGCGATGATGAGACACTTTAGATTCTTTCTCAGTCTGCATCAGACATGACATCAAGTATTTGTGATGTTCCTCATAATGTCATTGTATCATCAGTGGCATCAACATTAGTTTAACATTCTTGAGTATATTCTCATTTCCATAACATTTGCCCAAACTGTTCTGATTTTATGTCTGTCTTACTTCCTGTCAATCATCTGATAGCACTTCTTCAGCCAGCTGATGCCGGGCATCTTCCTGCGAGGAGTTGCTCCGTTCAGGTAAATAATCATGTAATCTTCTGCCACCAGCAGCTCCAGGCTGCTCACAACGTACCTGAGGACGAAGCCAACAAGCTCAGATCTGACTCAGACTGTGCAGGAACACATAAGATGAAAACACTTCACTTAAAAGAATTCTTGTTCACATTAAGTGGATCTGATCAAGATCTGTACTGCACAAAATAATGAAGCCAAAACAAGTGTTTAAACAGGGTTCCTTGGGAATTATATAACCAAGTCAGGTGCCTCTCAGCTCAAGGAAAGGGACTTTCCAAGGGAGAAAAAAAGACTGGAGCACATTCATCAAGCAGATGTTTCAACACCACTGTCTCTTCGTCAAGTCAGAAACTTCACTTTGATCAAGACACAGTGGTGCTGAAACGGCTGTAAATTGATCGATGTTCTCCAGTCCTTTCTTCTCCCTTGAAAAGTATATTCATCTTTCATTTCTAGCATTTAGTGTGCATAATCATTTCAAACAAGACTTGACATGCATAATCCATACAAACATTTTTTCCAGTCATGTGTCTTGATCAATTACACAGTGATAAAAGAATAAAGCAGAAGAATAATGTTACAGTATGACAAGGCTCATAATACAGCATGCTACTGCAAAAGAGTCCCTTAAAGCTACAGTAGGTTCCTCTGCCTCCAAGAATCCACGGCGTCTGAATGAAAATAACCAATGACAGCCGAGGAATCTTTAACATAGTGTTAATCACTGCTCTTGCACTCTGCATGTTCGCCTGTGTTTGTGGATTCTTGCAAATGCCATTAGGAGCACCAGGAGGAGCCAGAGGAACATAACTGTTTTTCACAGGTTATCTGTCTAATGTACTTCTGTCTGGATATAGTGACAGTTTGATCAATTGTTCACATTTTACCCAATATAACTTCATGAGACCAGAAAAGACCTTACAGGAAGAGATTCTCCATGATGTATGTGTAGTCCTCACAGCCGCTGTCAGGCAGATAGCAGGCTGCAAACACTATGATGGCATTCAGACCCTCTCCATAATAACCTGGGCGAGGAGAGAGACATGCATTCAGTATGATGGCTGCTGCACTGGCACTGGTGTGACACTGGCTTTTGCAACATTATAAGTTCTAATGTCATTTGATGGTCTGAAAGTGATTCCAGGTTTTTCCATCCTGAAAAATTATTAAAGTCTGGGTGAAAACTTGTAGTAACAAAGCGACAACTTCCAAGGCTGAAATGAAGTGCTAAAAACTGCAGTTCCTCTAATGGCCACTTGAGGCTGGCTCCAAGAGCGAGTCATTCCCCTTAGACCGCCATGTTAAAATGCTCAACTTTACAGCAGAATTAAACATGTTTACAGCCTGGTACAAAAACAGTTTTGGTCTCTATAGCTTATTTCAACATTCATGACAACTTTAGGAGGGGTGAGTTTTTATATAACTCAGGCGTTTACATTTTATTAGGGCTTAAAGTTGCGCATGATTGAGGGCATTGCTGCTTTGAGTGACAGGCTGTCTGCAAGGCGTTGCTCCAGTCTATGAATCAGATCCACTTCTGGACCAAGTTAGACAGAAAAAAAAAACAAGGTTGTTATGGCTGAACAGTCGAACTCGAGGCTTTAAAGCGGGAGTCCACAAACCAATGAGTGATGTCACAGTAGCTACATACATTATTTTATACAGTCTATGGTAAGCTATTCAAAAGTTGAGATTTTCAGCACATACAAAGAGTTTGCACACCAAAATCTAACCAAATGGTCTTTTGCTATTTTAACAGCTATCATACAAAGCAGATTTATTAAAGTTTCAGTTTTAGGCCTTCTTCAAGATTGATTTTGTTTTTGTTTTTTTTTTTGAAACGAGTCAGTTAATCAATTCAGTTGTATTGTTAACCACTTGAAAGACAGGAGTCTTCAGAGTTTGCTACTGAAAATCTCATAGTGCCACTTCCTAATATTAAATCTCAGAAGTGCACAAAGTAAAGAAAAGAGTATTATTTCTATTGTTTTGCCCAGGGTAGACAAAATAATAGAAATACTTGTCAGTAAAGCACAATACAATTCAACAGCACTACGAAGTGGAGCCTCCAAAATGACCATACAGTTGAATCACCAACTCTCTAAGACAGTTTATAGAAAGCATAATATTACCTTTGTGACAGTAGTATTTATTGCAGGACTGTTGTGTAAGACTGTGTAAATTCCTGCTGAAAGTGTCTATTGAACCCCCAACCAAGTGTCTGTCTCTATACAAGTCCTATCCACACGTCTGCTCTCTTTGTTGTACTTAAACTACCCCAGCTCTCTTTGTTTGATCCTTTGATGAGGGCAATTTGTCTTTCTTTCAACCAAGTTAATCACATTTGGCAAAGCTGTTTTGAAACGCACACACAAGCCCAAACACAAAGACACTTGGGTATTTGAATAAAAATATAGACTCGCAGATTCTTTTACTAACCTCCATGTGTGACCACCCTCAGGTACGGTCTGATGACCTGCATATCAATCCGCTGCTCCTGGTCACCAATGATCACTGTTCGCCACAGACGACCAGATGAGTCTCTCTCCTCTTCACTTTCACCTGGAAGACGCTTGGCAGTGGCCACAGGAGTGTCGTCTAGACACAAGGTGACACAAAGATGGTTCAGTTGTTTAATCTCCTTTCCCCAACTGCCTCAACATTTCTGAAATCACATAAATTCAGCATGAGGCAGATAAGGATCAAGGAGCTGGAACTTGCTGTCACTGTTTGCTGTAAAACTTGAATTGCAGCAAAAATCCTGTCCCTGTCTTCTTGTATTGCTTCTATTGGCATTACTGCAAGTGATTAAGTTAATGACCTAGCCACCATGTTGGAAACAGTTGCACAAAAACCAAGAACCCCCTCCAGCCAGGTCAAAAATGTTCTCATTTCACAGCTAAACAGTACACTAAAATATGTTTCTGTAAATATTTGAGGCAAAAAATACACAGTGCAGTAACAAAATCATGATTAATATTTGATAAGCGCTGCCTAATTTGACAGTCTGACCACAGTTCATGAGCAGTGACTGATATGATTGACAGCTGTGCTAGAGACTCCTCGGCTCTGATTGGTTGTTTTCCAACAGTCATGGTAGATTCTAGCAAATGTCATTAGAAGCAGTAGGAGAAGGAGGAACATGATTTCTTTCACAGACTGTCTTATGTGCTTCTGTGAAGATGTAGTGACAGTTTCAGCAAATAGGACAAAAGTGATTTTTACAGAAGTAACCAACTGTAGCTTTAAGATTAAAACACAATGTAAGTATTTACTTTACGAGAGTTTTTAGGATATCATTGGCGGTATCGCTGTACTGTACCACTGATGGACACACAAAGGACAAGGCAATGATGGAAATATTTCCTGAAAAATGAAAAACATCCAGCTGCTCTGGACAGAAACTGGGCAATTAAGAACAGCCTTGACTCTGGAGCCATGCAGTGATTACAGCAAATCAGTGTTTGTTTTCATTTTTGCTGTATTTGACAGTTGGCAGCAATTTGTGACTGGACAGCCAGAGGAAGATGACGTGTGACGCCTGAGGCAGGGCTCAAATCAAGGACACTGCAGGTAACATGACTTGCTTCACAAATAAAGTCCAACATGCATCCCTGACTTTAAAATTTGTACGTTCCTCAACATCTAAAGTTTCCAATATCATTTGACCTCTGTCTGACCTTCCCACTCCAGCTCGTTGCCATTGTTGATAAACTCCAGCGAATCTGTCTCATCAGGAGTCTCGATGTCGTCTACGTTGATGTCCAGGTCATCGGGCGTTTCCAGAAACTCATCAGAGAGCACGGACCCCTCGCTCTGATCCAGAGAGAGGCTCATGTTGGGGGCCACCAGAGTGCGGCGCTTACGCTGGGCCATGGTCTCGCCCACATTGAGAGTGGTTGGCGGATCTGGACAGGCAGGCCAGGAAATATGTAACTCAAGGGATAGTGGGGGAAATATAAATATATAATTAAAGCTATGCATTTATTCCACTTACTGTTTCTGATGTCAGTGAGGCCACATGAAGAATCAACGTCTCCATCCTCTGGTAGTGGCCTGAAGAGAAAGACATGAATATACAGCATATATACATTAATACTATGACACTGAAACAGTGTAAATAAAAAAATAAAATTGTTTTTTTTTCTAACTGTAAGTTAATATTTAACATTAATATTAAATTCCCATGATAGAAAAATTAATTCATTTCTTACATTTTCGCTCTTACTCTTTTGTTTATGGAGCAGTGCTACTGTTATTTAATAACAGAGTGCCCTTGGAAACAATATGTGTTGGGTGAGAAAGCAACACCAGTAATTACCATCTCCCCTCTGACATTATAATAAGACAGCTGAACCCTCAGCGCCGGGACACAAGAGGGCTAGATTATAGTAGATAGCACTCGTACAAACACACACACGTATACAGACGCAGACGTTAACACAGACATGCATGCATAGACAAACACACCCTAAAACACCACAAGTATGGGCGAGCTGATGGAGCTCCCGGGATAATTGCTGTTATTATGTTGTCAGTAGCTTTGTTGAGGTGAGTTAAAGATGGCACCAACAGATATTCAAGAGGAGATTAAACAGCGGGGGAAAGAAAAACAATTTAAAAGCATTCCAAAACGTTTCTCTATAAGTTTCTCACGTTTGAAATGTCTGCTATTGTGTTCATTGTTATACCTACCCATTACTCTCCCCTTATCTAATTTCATCATTTGTGTTGTGTTAACTTTCGCCATCTGAACCACCAGGATGCCATTGTTATATTATCATGTGGCTTGCAGCAGATAGACATCAAACATGGATGACACTATGTAATAAACTGTACATAAACATGTAAATACAGTGGATGTCCTTGAATAACACATGTCCTCTGCTGTACAAATGATTGTTGCCAGTAAAACAATGGTTTATGAACTACTTTTCCATTGTGGACACTGTGACTCGTTTGACTTGTCCTCTTTTATTCTCTGTGCTTGCTGCTGTTTTGCTCACTGACATGATACACAACACGTAATCACGTAACACATCAAGGAAAGAACACACCTGCTGCCTTTCAGCATTCAACACACGTGACTAGCTCCCCATCATAGCTGGGCCTGTTTGTCAAAGCCTTTGCACAAATCGGACAAATTGCTCACACGTGCGCACACACACACACACACACACACACACACACACAGGAGTACCTTGGGAAGTCTTCATCCTGCCACTCGTCCTTTACCTCCATGCTGTCCATGCGCAAAGTAGCTTCTGCTGTACCCATCCTCTGCCAGGGAGGACGGGCTTCAGCTCACTGTGGTTGACAAACAAATGAAACAATGTCATTCAGCAGGAAGCCAAGTGCTGAAACATTATTAAAAGATACAGTGCTCGTGGCTGGCTTAAAGGCACACTCCACCCATTTTACACATTTTACGCAACCCTGATGATTTCATCAGGATTATCTGAATTTTGAGACTGAAGTGAGATAACCTGACGACAGCCAGCCGGCGTTACAAACTGAAGGTGTGGAGTTTGAAAGACGTGGGTGTTTACCAAACAGGGAGGGTTTAAATGAAACATGCTATCCAGTGGCTTTAGGGGAAATGTAGGATTCAGTGCTTTTGGAGATTGAAGTTATTGCTTTTATTGTTGTTAGTCTTATTTGCATTTATTCAAATTTACATTTTGCATCTTGCATTTTTTTTGTCCTCTTGTTTGAACTTTATCCTAGCTCTACCTTAGTTGAACTGTTGGTTAGTAACACTGGCTGTCTGTGTATCCCGTTTTTGCTCTTGCTTTGCTTGTTAAAGCACTTTGTAAACTCTCTTTGTAAAGTTGCTATGTGAATAAAATCATTATTATTATTATTATCAGTAGCAGTATAATTATTACTATAACTGGGGGTGAAAAATTAGGATATTACAGCCTCCTTTTCTTATATTTTGACCATTCCTTTTTAAAGTGTCTCTTGAGTCCAACAAGCTTATGAAAGCAATATACTAAATTACAGGACCACCCATTAAATAGGCCATGTGAAAGCTGACGTACCCAAAATATCTTGCTTCTGTGAGCTGTAATCAAGTGGTTTGGAGAGCAAAGAGAAAACATAACATTGGTGTAGAGAAGAATCCAACCAACAATCCTGCAAAATCTTAAACTTTTATCCTTTACTAGTAAACATAACACACAGAAAATGTGAGATCCAGTGACAAAAAAAGCCAGTCCCTTAAAACACTGGTGCTTCATTGCCATAGGTAATTATTGTAAAATACATTTTCACTTGTCATAATAAACACAAATAGTTCAAATAACTCCCTGTAGGTTTGCTGTCCCTACAGCCCCGGAGAAAGAGACAAAAATAAAACACCACATTGCTCATACAGCCCCTCAGGGTGATACCAACAAATCATATGAGCCTCCATAAAGCAGATAGTTATCTGTACTTCCATATTTTACATAACCAAATCAAAAATGACCAAAGCCTGCTGCACGTCCTTGTCTTTATATGTGACGTAAAGCTTTCCTGTGTCTCGTGTTTGTGTCTGTTGTTGCAGGGTATCATACAAGGATCAGTCATGCACAGAATGAACATCATGTGTGGGTCTCATGTCAGAAATGTGCGCATGGGGGGGGGGAGTGTCCTTCCTACATCGCTGTCCCGGCCAGAGTTCATGCTGCAGCAGACGTTACCACAGTCCATTTGTCCACTGGGATGGCACTGATGTGCTGTAGCAAGACACATCAGGGCCTATATTGGAAAAAAAGGGGTCTAAAAGGCATATGCCCTGAAGCCAAATGCTGCTGGAGCTGCTGTGTTGTGATTGGATTGTAAGTGCTGTGGGAGAATGATGTTTACACTGTGCTATCCCGTAAGAAAGTTGCAGTGTTTGATGTGAGCTTGATGGAGAACTCCTTAAACGACACTTTAATAAAAACCCAACATGCTAGATCACTCATTGAGTGGCCACCTCCTGTTCTCACGCTTCTTTTGAAGAAAATAAAAAAGCTTTGTGAAACACATTGATCATTTTCCCTGCTAAATTAAGAATGACAGAGGGGAGTGACTCGCTGAGAATTAAGTGGAAAATTCACACGGAAACAGCAGATCCGTGCGTGCGGTGTGCTGTCTGTGCAGATGTCTCTGGCCAAGGCTCAGCTGCTCGTACAGTGAAATGCCGATTGATGGACACAAAGTAATGTTGCAGCAGCACGTGTGCGGTAGGGATTTGAGTCCAGATGGCAGAGCAGCCTTCATTTCCCAAACACTATCTTGTGAGCTATTCACTGCGTTGTGCCTGTAAAACCAAACACCTCATAATCTGTAACAGAGGTGGAAAGCAAATAACTGAAAATACTCAACATAGAGAAGCTATACTTTAAATATTTTTTTCTCATTCTGTGACATACTGTAAGTAAAAGTGAAGCAGTGCAGCTTCCACTTGAATGGAACATCACAGGATTCCTTCCTCCTCGGCATTATGAGATCATTTACGTGGTTTGCGGCTTGGAGATAAGCATCATTAAAGCAACTGCTGATAAAAGGCAAGGCAATGTATCATGATCAAGTACAGGCATCCTCAATTTGTCTGACTGCAATTAACTAACAAGAAACCCCCCCGATGTTTGGCATCAAATCTCATGACATTCATATTTATTACTTAATGAGCAACAATCATATAACAGTTTAACACTTGAAAACTCAGCTAATCCATTTCATCAGGGCTGGATGGCTATGGTCTGATTAGAATAAATCATAATGGGTACACAAAAGTAGGTGACCACCTTTTCCCAAATGAGCCCAGTGCACTTCAAGCCAGTAAGAGGAGCAAACAGACACATATATATCTACTGAAAAATAACAATAAGTGCTCTAAATTTGACAGGAAAACGTGTTTGTGACGGTTGCTTAAGAAGCTGATTGAAATGTTACATTGCCAGGGCCTTAAAATGTGCAGGAAAGGAAAAAGCTATTCTGTCACGACTGCCATCCCTCCCAAATCTGACAAACGGAAACAGACACCATTTCAGTAATTTGATTCACAAACAGCAGCAGCATGAAACAAAGCCTTAAATATCATGTCACTGATTGGGAATCTGCCTCCCTGAAGAAAAAATAATTGAGTGTGTACAGGCAGGGTACTCACCTGCTGTGATCAGGAAGACTTCCTCTGTGCCGTTTTGAAAGCTTCCCTGTTTTGCTCTCAGTTGCTCCTCTTTATTTTATTCCACCTCCTCCTTAGATCTGCCTGAGCAGAGTGTTGATCATCACTATTTACATCTGCATGTGGGCTGCTGGAGGATTCTTGCTGTTCACTGAAGCGTCAAACAGAGGCTGAGAAAGAAATCGTGTCCCCCTGTAGAGAGGAGAGCCGCCAGGAGAGTCAGGGTCACCAAACAGCAAACACCATCCTGCTCTCATCTTTTCAGTCGCCTGTGCCAGTCAGATCCAGTGTTGCTTTTTGGACAAAAGATAATCCTCCCCCTGCGCTTTTAGCTCATCTCATGATGATCACTCTCTATCTTTACTTCTGCTCCTACTGAATCCCCGCTGCCACCCCTCCTCCCTCTACCAACACTAATGTCCCCACCCCGGGCTCTAATCCTGATGTGATGATGTCACCAGAATGTGTTATGGTGGTTATGTAATCACACCTGCCTACCTTCTCTTGATTCTCTGAAGCCACAGGGAGTCTGGATCAGCTGTTTTCCTTCTCCTCACGTTCAGTCCGTTTTGCATCCATGGTTTGACGTGTGTCTGTCCTCCTGCGAGCTGCGAAAGATGGACGTTTCTACTTCACTGCTGTTCCCTGGCAACAGCATCTTCCTCCCTCACATACGCGGTCTCTCGCTCTCTTGCTTTTTCTCACCATCTCTTTTAAGCTCTCTCACTCTTGATGAAACCCCTCCTCCACATGAATTCCCCTCCTTTTCTCCTGCTCCAGAGCTGTGATGCTCACACCCCCTCCTTCCCCTCCCTCCCTTTCTCTCCTGCTCTCCTCACAGCTGCACTCAGCTCTGGGCGATGTCAGTGACACAGAGTGGCTTCTCTCTGGCATCACACTCATCGCCCAGTGGGGGCAGCCTCAGTTTTTCTATTCTTCTCCTGCCATTGGCTGCTTGGCAGAAAAATGCATTTCGGGTGTGTTTACTGTTTTCTATTAATAACGCTACTTTGCACAGCACAGAAATACTGCAACATGACCAGACTTGTGACTAAAAGCATTTGTGTTCCCACAGATCCGGTACTGTTGAGAGATGTTGAAAACAGACCAGATAGCTTTGGGTGTTTACCAACATTGTTTTAATAAGTTCTCATGGCCTGATTTCAAATAAAATCTTGCCTATCTTTAATCTTGTTTGAAGTGCATTGCTATCGAAAGATCTTGGAGTTCTTTTTTTTAATAGTCAAAAATGTAAAATTATCTTTTAATGGGGTGTTTAATTTCCCTGTAACTGTACAACTGTGCACTCCTGTAGCTTTTTGCAAAGGAAAAACAAAACACAATCATGTTTCAGTTGCAGGCACACACTGTATTGTGTTCACAGTCATACAGTGCAGTGCCATAAAATATTAAACAGTCCTGTATGTGTTCATATGCATTGCCAATGTCTAACTGGGTCACTGAGATATCCTTTGTCTTGCATGTTTACAGTCCTGACACCAGAGGGTGGTAGAGTGTTCCCTATTAAGGACATATCTACAACACTGCAAGGACACAGTGTACTACTCATCACGTTTAAGATACATGGGTTGGACTGACCTCTTGATGACCTCATAAAAAGCCTGTGTCATATTTGACAGGGTTTGTGTATTTCACAACCGGACTTATGGGCTGTTTTTCACAAAGTCCCCTAGACCAGTGGTTCCCAACTGGTCCAGCAAAACACAGGGTCCAAATGTATCCTTAGTCATTAGTTCAAAGTGCCACAGTTTAATGCATTCAGCGTCATACTTGCATTTGGCCATGTTGTTGAGCTTGCTAGCTTGCTGTCTCTGTCAAATAGCTGTCCATTTGTCACTCACTCTACAGCAGAAAACAGCACTTCAAAATAAAAGCTCTGTGCTGGAAATTTACTGTAGTTAGAGATTAAGTGTGTTTTTTTTACAAACTTGACACATTTGTGAGTCATTTGCGGTCCATTCAGAATGGACCCATGACCCACTTTAAACCGCGACCCACTAGTTGAGAATCACTGCTCTATACTATTAAATAATAGTTCTCATAATAGAGTTCCCACACTTGCTTAACCATCTTATTAAGGACTTTCTAAATTACCTCAAATTCAAGGACCTAACATGGCAGAGTTTGAGACACTGATCAAGGTTAATTACTGTTACAACACTGGGAATTTTATAATGACAACCATCAAGCTTTACAGAAGCCCACAGACAACAACTGTGCTGTGTTGCACTGATGGCAGACAACGTAGTCTCCTGCCTTTTCGAACACAGCACTGAATAACAATCACTGTTGCATACATGTGACCGTCACACTTTCCCCAGGCAGGTAGCACATGAAACAATGACACTTGGAGACACTCGTGCAGATCATAGCCTTTTTACTAATGTTAAGTAAAAAATATTAGAGGAACTTTAATTTTTTTTTTTTACGTACTTTCGATGACCCACGTCTATTCCTGTCTTATTTAAAAAAACTATGGCTTTGATTTCCTGTCAAATCAAACTTTCAAGAATTTCAAGGACACATGGGAACCCCTGATAGGACAACTTCTCTCTCTATTAAACAAACAAACAAACAAACAAAACAACAAAAAATATACTTACCCAACCTATATGTTGTGACAAATGAGACAAATCTCTTTTGTCACAATCCACAAAGTACACTGATCTGTTTCTCTCGACAGTAAACATGTTTTATTGGAATTTTATCAGTGGGGAATAACGGCAGCCACAGGTTTTATGATGACATTTAAAAAAAGTGACAGACCAATTCACAATCCTGTTCCACTAACATGAACATGAACTTTTTTCTAAAGCGCTAAAACATGTTCCTTGGGAAAACTGTCCTTATTGCAAACTAAATGATTACAGGCTGCTACTGTATACAGGTTCGTAAAATCTATTTAGTATCAATTTAGCCAAGACAAAAAAAATAATGTTATCATGTAATAACACATGACATAAATATTAGCCATTGGACACAGATCCTGTCAAGTCTCATGATGCTCAAACCTGGGAGATTTCATCCATCAGTCTTTTTTCTGCAGAGCTGGAGGGCTGCAGCTCACATTTGGACAGATGTTGCACTACACCCACACCGATACAATCCCCCAGCACATTGATGGTAGTCCTCACACGATCCCTATCAACAAACAAGAAGATCTGAGGTTATAGCAGGAGCTTGCCGGTGTGATTTGACCACAGCTACACACAAGTTTATGGCTTTAAATTATGGCTTTAGTTTAAAGTAAAGTTACAGGATACTTCGAACTCCATGTCTAACCCTAACCTCAAACTCAAAATCCTCAAACAGACCTTTGAAGAAGTGGAGATCAAATGATCAAATGTTTCCTCACTCTCAAAATCTCAAACTGATATTAGTTGCATGTGCACTTACAGAATCCAATCAACCATTATGAGCAGTGAAATGTCTTCAGTGGGCAGTCCAGCCGACTCCAACACAATCACCATGGATACCATGCCAGCCTGTGGGATGCCTGCAGCTCCAGTGCTTGCAGCTGTGACAATCAAACTGAACAGGAGAAACAGTGATGGTTATGTAATGTTAGTCTTGTTTGTGCATAAGAAAACAGCCACAACCCAATAACCGTGCTCTTAGGCTTTACCAATCATGTTTGTGGAGCCATGAACTGAAAGGTAACATTTTGGTTTAAGCATCAAGAAGAATAAGAGCAGTACTTACTCATCGTCCTCAGTAACTCACAGAAGTTGGTACATGGACTGAAATACATATATATATTTGAACAGTCTGAGCACAGTGTGTTTTGAGCTTACCTGAGTGCAATGATTTGACCCAGGTTAAAATCAATATTATTGACTTGGGCAATAAATAATGCAGCTACAGCTTCATAGAGTGCTGCGCCATCCATGTTCATTGTGGCCCCGATAGGGAGCATAAGGCGTGTCACTTGTTTTTCCATGTTGTGATTTTTCTCCATACAGTGGAGGGTAACAGGTAGGGTTGCAGAACTGCGGAAAAAAATGATGAAGCCATTAACACAGTGGTCATGTGTCTGCTATGGGTTTAATGGCATTAATATAGGTGTTAGACTCACCTTGATGAAGTGCCAAAGGCAGTGGTAAGAGCTTGGAGTAGACCACCCATAAAGCTGAAGGGGTTCTTACATGTGACAATAAAAAAGATGAGAGGAAGGGTGATGAGGCTGTGGATCAGGAGGCCAATGAAGACAGTGAGACCATACATGGCAACTTCACTGCCTATCTCTTCTGCGTCTGTCATCTTCACAATCTGTCCCGCCAATAGGAAGATGATTCCCACTGGGGAGTACCTGTGATACAGAGGGGAGGCACGGCAGAGGACAGGCAAAGGGAGAGACTCAGTCTTGAGGGAGTCACTGAGTATGTCAATATTGATAGCTAATATGAATTAAATGGCACATTCACACAACACACGGCCAGTTCATCTTCAGGAAAGCTTCCTATGCTTACCAGAGGACTATGCTGACCAGACGCATAATGGCTTTATTCAGGCAGTCAAAGAAATCCCTCACAGGTTTTCCCTCACTCTCCATACTGCCGAGGACAAGGCCAAAGGCAACAGAGAAGCACAATAGACCCAAAATATTGAATCCGTTTGCGGTGCCTGGCACTGGCACTCTGTCATCTATAGAGATCCAAGGGAATGTCGTTAAGACAAGTTGTGTAGTGCCAATGTAACAATAATGACAATCAGACAGATGCCAAATGAATCCTACACTGGGTTAGACAAATATTTGGTTTTCAGTCACAGGAACAGAACAAAAAATAAAAACAGGAAACTCACTGTCTTTACTGGTCTCAGTCGTATTGACACCAAGACTCTTTACTGCTGAATCACTCCTGGAGTAAACTGTTTTATACTAGATAAAACATATAAGCAAATGTTAACTGTTACTGAGTATGAAATTGTGACAGTAAAAATATAAAAACAAATCATAGCCATTGCCTTACCTTTCTGAAACAAGCCTCCACCAGATTTGAGGGAATCATGTTTCTATAAACCAAAAACACTCATTAGGTGTTTTATATACCAACTGTATCAGTACATGTTGCCTGTAATTTACTCTGAAAAAGTGTCCTTGGAAGATTTTGACACACACCTGATTAGATCAAGAAAGGAATCCACCGTCTGCACAGGCTCTGTATTACCACTAGAGGACACTAAGTCAGCAGTGGATGATTTTCCTGGTTGGATAAGAATGGCTAAGGAGATGCCAGTGAAAGCAGCAATCAGTGTGGTGACCAAGTAATAGCCAAAGACCCTTAGCCCAATTTTCCCAAAAGCCTTCCTGTCCACAGATGACATTACTGAAATAAAAGAAAACGTCTTCAGTACAATAGTACATTAAATATACATCTTTGTAGTAATTCAAATACAGTGATACATATGTTGGGTTTGATAACTTATTATATTAATAAATTATATACATGCAAAATAAGAACCACCGATAAAGGGGGCAATTTTAGAAAAATTCTTTGAGATGTATGTACAGTTAGAGCTCAGGTAGGCAGTTTAAATTTGGCATAAATGTGCAAATTCGCATAATAAACTTTGAACATATCGTAATTCAAATGGACAGAGAGAACAGTAGGCTTCGGCACTTCCTCTTGGCTCTGTTTCTTAGGTTTAAGCAAATGTCGAGAGACTTCGGCCAATCACAGGTCATTTCAGAGAGAAGGTGTTCCTATTCTACAAATGCAGATACATTTGTGTCCCTTTTGTGGAGTCCTGACTCAGTGGCGGACAATCATGCAGACAAAGGGACCTGACAGTCTCAACACCCCACCAGCTCAGTGAACTTTCTGTTGCTGCTGTTACACAGGTAAGACCAGGTGCTGCAGCTGGCCAAATCTGAGCTGCCACAGCTGCCAACTGAAGTGCATCACTCAAGCTGCAGCTTGCTCTCCTCTCGGGGAAACAGTTCACTATGGCACGGAGCGAAGTGAAGGGATGGTGGGGTGGTTAACGCTAGCTACCTAGTTCTTGTCTCACTTGTGGTCTGATAAACGGAGACAGAGAGAGAGCGGGGCAAGGAGGAGCTGAGCTAATGTGCCATGTGCAACTGTACTAAGACATAAGATTAAATAAATCAATGTATGAGAAACACTGTGTTACTAAAGCACATGCATGCCTGTGGTCATCTGGTGGGAGGTGCTTGGAACCAGAAGGGTGTATTTTCAGATTATGCCTTTTCTAGATTTCTGCCTACCACAGATTTAAGAAAAAATGTTGAGGCTCTACACACAGTAATTTAAAGAAAACACCTTGATTGATTCTCAGCTTGAAGAGTGAACTGATCAAGGTCATAATATCAAACTAAAATTAAGGTGAAAGGTTAAAGACAAACTAAACCTAATCTACAATGTAAAGTAAAAAAGAAAAAGCTAAAGTAAAGAAAAGTAAGGTGTTCTGCACACAGACAGAATTCCACCTTAAGGCTTAGTAACACTTGCAACAGCCACTATGTTGACTTTTAGTTGTGTCAACCGTGATGATTATTATCAGAGTGCTATTACAATGTGTACGATGTGGGTCAAACCATTTCATAATCAACTGATTAAAAATCATGCTTGAGTTAAAGTTTAACCAAGCCAGAATGTGTGGATCTAACCTGCAATCACACTGGAAATAATGAGAGGAAGCACCAACATCTGCAGGATTCGGATCAGCAGCTCTCCAGGATAGGTTAAATATTTTACATCCCTGGCTGACATATTAATTTGTCGTAGAGCAAAGCCCAGGCCAATCCCTTAGAGAAACATAAATACAAGGCAGCAAGTCAGTGTATCATTGAAAGGGTGAATTAAAAATATCAAATGCAGAAGAGCCAATACACAGAGCAGTGCTGGAGACGTAACACACTAACACAAAGAATGCAAGCAGCAGGTTGCAATTTGTACAACAACTGTATATGATAGAGTAATGGTATAATAAAAACATTTCAGGCTTTACAGGAGAATAAAGTACAGTGTTTGAAAACCACTTACCTAATGCAACAGCCGCCATTGTGAGAACAACGAAAGCATTTCTTTTGAGGAAAGCCTTAACATTAGATCCATTCTGAGATAGCGATACATGACCTGAGGTCCTACTACATTTGTTGTTTGTTTGGTTTTCCTGGGGTTCACGAACCTCCACTGAATCCAACACAGACAAGTCAACGGAGCTTGACAGCATCTCTTATGTGATTAGTCCAAACAAGTATAGACTGCAGAAAAAGACATCTCTCACTAGAATTAACAGAACAAGCACCATTAAGATGTTAATCTTTATGGAGTTGACAAAGTTTGCTGACAGACATTAAAGCTAAAAAATACAAAAATGGAAGCAGGTGAATGTTGTGGAAAAAAAAACTTATGAGGTATGAGGTAAATTATAACAATACTTACATTATCCTGAGTCTTTTGGTACGGATGGAAAAGAAAGATCACCTTTAGAATACTAGTCCTTGAACAGTATCAACGCGTGAAGTCCAGTCACTCCAGTAACGACAGCATGGTTGATACGGCAGTGGGAAAGTCTAGTTTTTTTCCTCTTGGCAGACTGACAGATTCTTCAACACAATGATTTTACCACCCTCCATTTGCATATGACTTGAGGGAAAGGTGCAGACATAATTCTTTATCTTTTGCTCTTGGTTGCTTATTAGATCCAGGATTGCCACTTAGAAGATGATATCATTCAATCAGATTAATAAAAATAAAATATCAAATCTTCAATTCAAATTTTGGGTTAAGTATGAATGTTTTAGCATGAAAAGCCCTAAAACCATTTTCCCACGTGACTTGATGTAAGTGTCTACACAATGTCATTGCTATACATATAAACCCACATACTGCTATGGACACCATATTAGTTCAGTTCTGAAAGTCACACAATAACACAAACAATCTAAATGACTGAGTCCACATTGCATTCGGTGTGAACACACCATCATGCCAACATCAATTTCACAGTATACTGGCATAAAGTTGTTAAGTATGATGACAAAACCCCACAATTGTAACTGAGGGTGTAATGCTGGTTGATGGGTATACTAATACAGTAGGTAGATGGCCAGGTTACAGGGGTGGAAGTGGGTATAATCTCCTATATATTCCAATAGCATTTTGGCTGACAGTTGGGTATACTATTAACAGCCAGAAAAAGAGGTAGGTATACCCTGTATACCTGTGTATAACCCCATATACACCACTCATCATCACAGTATTAACATCCATGACATTTCAACACTATTAGCTGTTAGTATTTTGTTGGCTGTAAGAACTTAACTAACCAAAACCCAACATTTGCTAATCATTAGTGTTAGTTGTGGTGTTGGGTAGCCAATATCCAATGTCCGTCAAAGCGTCTCATACTAGCTTCATAATGATGTAGAAGAAGTCATTGTCGTAGTATGACCTATATTTTACAGTTAATAAATGACAAATGTCAAGTAGGACTACACATGTCATTTTGTTGTATTCAAATTGATAGTTCAGATTGACATCCATACATCCATACAGTGGTATTTGCGGCTCCATGCAAGTATCATAGATCCTATCAAGTCTGACCGCGTGTGTTCCTTATTATGAGAACAAGTGCTTCACCAGCAGTGTGCTGATCTAAAAGGAATGAAGTGGATATAGACCTGCAACAAACATGATTTTGAGCAGCAGGCTAACACACATTAGTTTGAGATTCATTTTTAACCCCTTACACACTTATTACGACTACTTTCCAGTCCAGTTGTTTGCCACCTGGTGGACTCCTTTGTTGATGTATTACTATAGAACAGCTCCCTCAGCAGTGTGTGTTAGAGTCACCAATTTAAGCTTAGTTCACATTACACGTGACGCATCTAGGAGGCGAAGCCATAGCATAGTATTACCAAAGCAAAGTTGTTACACCAATTGACAAAAAAGAGGACTGGAAAAGATCAGCTTCAAGCAAGGAACCCCTCACCATCATGAATTGCTTGTATCCTTGCTGCTCAAAATCATGTTGTTTGCAGGTCTATCCATTTCATTCATTTTGGAGCAGCACACTCTTGGTAAAAAGCTCGTTCTCAAAGGAGGGACAGACTTACTATGTCAAATTTGGATAATCTACAGCAGGGGTCTTCAACATTTTTCAGGCCAAGGACCCCTTAGCTGAACGAAAGACAGAGCATGGACCCCCTACTACATATATTCTATAAAACTGAATTGCATATCAAAAGAAGAAGCCCCTCACTGCAGATTGCTCAGCATGGGCAGAGTCAAACGTTGAGTGCTGCCTGCATTAGCAATTCCAACTGCATTACCTGCTAGTTAGCTAGCTGCTACCCCATGGTTCCTCTTGGCCTCACTACTGGCCTATGAGACTGCTTTTGTCGTGAGGAGAGAGGCTGGCACATCTGGAGAGGCGGAGATGGACTTGCTGAAGCAACTCAAATTCAGCCAGAGCTAACTAGTTAACTAGTCGCCAGGGGTTGCAATGAGCCCTTTGCAACCCCCAGCGACTGGCCAGTGGCAGCTCTGGTTCTAACCTGTGTAATGGCAGCAACAGAAGCATACAGATCCAGTGGGGAGTTGAGGAGTTTGTGCTGGCTGAATTCAAATTGCTACAGTCCCTAACTTTAGACTTGTCTCCAAAGTTGCTCTGCGCTCACCTCCCAGCTAGTAGTCTCATATGTGGAAGTGAGATGGAGGAACCGCAAGGTGCAGTATGGGCTGTCTCTGTGAAATATGACTACTGTGGCTTAGAAAATAGCAATATGGAGCGCTGAATTTGATGAATTTAAGCATTATTATGGATACCACTACTTTGCTTGCCATGTCTTGCCCTACAAAATCCCTGAAAAAAGAGACAGAAGTCCACAGCTCTATACCCAAGGAGGGAAGGCCATGGACACAGACCCCACCACCCACCTGCTCTCCCTCTAGTTCTCTGGTAGAGGAGCAGGGCACGGCCTTGGTCAGAGGGGCCTGCTGAACGTGAGAGGAGAGCCAGGGGCCGCAGAGCATGTTGGAGAGCCAGAGGGAGCAGGAGTCCACTTAGACCTGGATGTGGAGCTTCCAACAAAGTCCCTTGCTTGAAAAGTTACAAAACAATCCATCCTGGCTCAAAATGATGTCTGTACACTTATAATAAGTGGCTAATATGTTTTGATAGTATATAAAATGTTAGCTAACTCGCCTACCTTGCCTACCTCGCCTACCTCGCCTTTATGATAAGGTGTTGCAGAGTGATTTAGCGTTTGCTAGCTAACATGACTGCACAAGGATTCATGGGTAACACTTAGCCTATCATCAGTGTTGTGTGCTGTAAAATTCTATGTTTTTTGGGGGGGGTCACAATAACCTCTTTAAGTTGGACAATTTGCCCTCACTTCACACGACAAGAGAACAATTTAAACAGATCTTCTGTAATTAGGTGATCCTAAGTCTTACAAGCCTGGTGTCCAGAGCCTTATTAGGTCTGTGTTAGGTACAAAGTTTTAGGTCATGAAGGTGTTAAGTCCAAAGTGTCCCTAAAATACTGAGTCTTGGAAGGAGGCAACAGTAGTGGACAGTACAGTTGATCAGGGAGATTTTAAGTATCTTAGAGCTTCTTGAGTCCTGTTAAATCACAAATCCATTAGCAACAGAGGTCTCGTGAGGACGTGCCAATAATCCACAAATTATCTTTTAACTTGTGTGAACTGTTCTTCATGTACAACTGTAAGGGATTATTCTTCATTATGAAGTTATTAGGAATTTTCAAAAGTTCTGTCATATTGGAAAATTATATAGCAAAAAAACAAAAATAATTGGTAATAATCAGTGTTCAGTATAATAATGGTGGTAGCCTGGGCTGCTTTTAATATGACAGTTTAATATTATGAATTTATTTCCTGTATAAAGTTCATGTGATGATTTCTTAGCTGGTCATTCAGAACTACAACTACTACTACTACAATTTATTTGTTTATGGTGCATCTGCTGAATTTACACTTTGCACATTACCTAATGATGACAAAAGATTAAAATTTCTTAAAGTTGCTCAATGAACAGCATACCAATGGTGGACTAATTATCGTATTTGCAGGTTAATATCTCTCCTCATGTTGTGCGTGTTTTTCTATTTTTTCAATTTTCCAGATGACACATAAAGTTAGAAACACGAGATGTTCTCAGCTGATTGGATTGGTATCAGGCTGATTAGGGACTATTCTAATGGATTGGTATTTTGTCCACTTCAGCCTACTACTGCTGCAGCGCTGCTCTCCTATATGACAGCATTTCACTACATATGTGTGTATATAAGTATCAGACTTGGTATCAGCAGATACCCAGTATCAAATGACTCATGTTGGGATCAGGGCCCAAAAAATAGACTGAGACATGCCTAGGTGTCAACTTTGGGCCCTATGATTGCAGGAATATGATAACCAAGAGTTTTGAGTCACTGGCAGCACAATAAGAAGGAAGCAGGAATAGGATGGTCCTAACATCTTCCAGGTGATATTGGTAGTCTTCATGCTAACGACAACCATTGTAAATAATGTACTAAACTCCAATGAGACAGTATTTTATTATTTTAACATTGCTGAAAATTCATATCTCCTTGCAGCTTCGCTGACTGTAAATATAGTTTAGTAACTTGTAACAATACTGAAGTAACTCTTGTTTCCCAAAAACCTTAAACTGTGTATTATTACTGCATTATAGGATATTCACTGGCTTTATTTATGACCACATTAACCCGTGTCTACTTTAGTAATTAGTACTGGTCAGTGAGGTACACGGCAGTGGCCTACATCCTGAGGATTTATCCCGCTGCATCGTGTTGACAAGGTAAAGACTTTCCAGTGTCTGTAGCCTTCCAATTATGAGCTAAGCTCTTTAGCGGTTTTACTCCAGCCACAAGTTATTGATACAGTCTTATCATCTTGACACACAATAGGCAAGGTTTCAACACCTCTTGTTAATAATTTATTGTTTTTAATAAGGTTAGATTTTTGCGCTGCCCTTCTGTCTTCCACTTGTCCTCAACTTCCCTTTCCCCTTTACTTATAGGACCGAATAACATCTATTTAAACTGAGCTATGGTGTTTTTTGTGAATCAAATGTTGGGTTGTAAACTGAAAAGTCTACCAGAGGATGACAGAGACGACAGTAACAGGAGCAGATGACAAGGAAACCAAAGGGAGGGATGTCCAAAAGCAAATCCAA